AATAATTTAAGAAACTATTAGAAATAGTATTTTTAGATTTTCCAATCAAAATAATATTTTTAATAACCAATCATAGGATTAGAATTTCATAGTCGATCTACTTTTCGATATATTGATCTCTCTCTTTAATAACATAATAAACATCTTGTAGAATCTTGACCTTAGTTATTATTTTCAAGTCTTCAACATTTTATCATTTTAACCTCTGTAAAAAAGTTTACTTACAAATTAACATTTTATCATAATTAAATAAGATAATTATCCTTGTCTAATTCTATTACAATACAATAACTTTAATTATACATATTAGTTTCTAAACTAAAGAAAATGATTAATAATAAGATAGATTGAAATCAATTGCCTCTCTTTCGGATGACATCTTTGTTAAAAATGTATATTATTAATAAATTACACAGTAAGATTGCTACAATTAGGTCCTTTTATTCAATGTAGTTTAATAGGAAGTATATAATTTACTCTCATTAAGTAACTTGTAATTCCGATAAATTTAGTAAATTTAATTTTATGATGATGAAATTGTATCTAAAATTCTTAATCATTTTTATGATAACAGTCTTTTATTAACATCTTTGATAAAGATGCACCATCCTTCTTGTTCATTCATTTCTTATTTGGAAAGATATTCTTCGCATTTTCACAATATCTATTTAAAATCCACCAACATTATTACCTTTACTGGAAATAATACTTTACTCTAAAAACGAGTGTGTTACTGTAAAGTATTATATAGTTATAACTTATTTATAAATTAAACAATAATGATGAAATTCAAAAACTTATTGTGCTTAAATTTGACAAGTAAGAGAACATCCCTAGTATTTTAATTGATTATATTCGATACCAGAAATAATATAAATTGCTTAGAATAAACTTATTCTCTTTAATAGACTCTAAAATATCTAATTCTATGTTAATGAAGCTTTAATTAAAACATTTTTTAATATATGATCAACTTGTTCAATTCTTTTATAATTTGTAAATTGAGGAAAGGGTTCAGATAAATAATACTAAAAATATATATGGTTTAATACTTTATCTGAGAATACATCATATTTCTATTAGAAATTCGCATTATGAGGGTTAAAATTAACAATCTTTAAGTAACAGGAGTTTTCAAATAAATATACTTAAGCAAATTTAATTTATTGTAGCTAAAACATCGATATGGTATTTTAATTTAAAATTAATTAATAATATTATGGGCAATGGGAGAGGGGATGTTATTTTTGATGTATATTATTATTCTGTTCTAATCTGCACTAAGGAACACAAAACCTAGGTTTGATCACTAGGAAAGTGAGTAAAGACAATTATAAGAAAGGTTCAAAAGAGAATATGAAATGAATAATTGACCGAATTCATAAATAGATAATATTAAGAGATAATCATATAAGAATTCAAATTTATTCTTTATTTTCAAACTTTTCTTCCTCTGACAAGAGACAAAATTGATGGATTATATTTTCAATTTTTTATAATACTCTTTATTTCTTTACTTTTATTTTTTTAAATATACTCTTTAGAAAGATTTGATGTAGATAATGTAATCATCTTAATACATACCGATAGAAAATATATTTAAGATATGGAAAAGAAGATTAATGGATGGATCTACAGATAATTTCAAAATTATCTAAATATTTGAAAGTAGTATTTCTATATTTTTCTTGCTCAACCAATTGTTGAGTAAGCATATAATGAATTAGTGCCAATCATAATAATGAGTAATGACTCAATGAATATCATTATATTTTAGGTAAAATAAATAAATGTATAATATTCTTACAAAAATATATTGAGCATTTTAATATCTTTTTTCTTTTTGACCTAACTATTTAAGCTCAATCTATAAATGTAATTTAATATAAGATAGGTCACCGCATATAACCATACCAATTCTAATATCAAAATAAAATACTACTTTCCAGGATTCAAAAATCATATCAAAATGAAAATGGAAGATATCAAGCAAAAGATCGTTAATAAATTACTAAGATTAACCTCTTAATTGATTTCGAATTCCTTTCTAATAGTTTAAAGATTATCAAATTCTTAGTTTTTTGGACTAAACAATTTTTATTTAAAAACATAAGATTAACTCAGATTGATAAACATAAATAACATAATTATCAAATTAGTGGTCATTTTTAATTGCAAATATATTGTATTATTCTAAAATAGATTGATAAATTAATCTACTTTTTTTGTGGGTCTTAAAAGAATGCTAAAATATATATTTAATTTTTTATTATGATAATTTCATTTATCATAATTCACAATTCCCCTAGTCTAATTTTTTCTAATTTCGATTTCCATCCAACTTCCAATCTTTTTACCCTCTTTATATTAACCTTTATAAACTAATTATTAGAAATCAACAAACTAATCTTTCACATCAATCCATTCTCCAACCTTCAAAGAGTCTTAATCATTGTAAGATCCACCACCACTAAAAATTGATATTATATATGTATTTTATTTTACATATTTACATCTAAAAAGTCCCCATAATTCTTCTTCAAATAACTACTCCACCTACCAACCTTCTTACCATTTTTATACCATCCATTGAATGTGACCTAAGATCTATCCCAAAATCCCTCACTTAATTCAACCCAATTTCCTATTTTAACTGATGCACTTTCATCATATACTCCACCACCACTAAAAATGTTATTTTTAATATTTTTACATTTAAATATAAGGTTGGTTTTCAAATTCTCGATAAGAAATATCCCACTTCCCTATTTTCTTACCATTTAAATATTAGCCTTTTTAAATTATTTATGCAGCACCATAAAATCCATCACATAACTCTATCCAGTTCCCAATTTTAATAGAACCTTCTTTATTATATGATCCACCACCACTAAAATTTGTAAATATTAATATAATCTTACATTAATTGTCCAAATGCTTCAATGGACCACAAATCTATTTTTTTACCATTTTTATATTCCCCCTTCAAAATAACTTAAGAATTATCCCAGAATCCTTCGCTCAATTCAACCCATTTTCCTATCTTAAAAGAATATTCTTCGTCATATAATCCACCACCACTAAAAAGGAGTATAAGAATTACATCTTAACTTTTATTTTATCATCATAATCTTTTTTCCACCAAATATCCCATCTACCAATTTTCTTACCATTTCTATATTGACCCTCATATGTGACTTACGAATTGCAATAAAATCCCTTGCTCAATTCAATCCATTTTCCAATTTTATTTGAATTTTTAATACCATCATTGGCTTTAATGTTTGCAGAAGAAAGTTATGATTAAACTTAAGAATTTTACTACTATGTTGGTTTATAATCATATTCTTGGAACAATATATTTTAAGGATGATAATCCTCATATTATCCACCACCACTTATATTTTATATTTTAATATTACATCTCTACTCCTTCATACTTTATCGCCCATCTACCAACTTTTTTTCCATCCTTATATTGACCATTATAAATTATTTAAGATTTATCCCAAAAAGTTTTACTCAATTCAGTCCATTATCCATTCTTCTCACCTTTATAATTATATATACCACCATCACTAACTTAATACGTATCTTTTTTACATTATTTTATCCTAATAATTATATTTCCAATCTCCTATTCTTAAACCATTATCATATTCACCTTCTTCATACACCTGAGCTTCCCTATTATATTATTAAATTAAGCTAACTTCCAATAATTCTAAAATAATTCTTTCCACTTGCCATATTTTTTTCCATCATTAGTGTAGTATCCGCCTACACCATCCAAAGTGTTACCCATCCATGTAGCTATCCATTTTCCTATCTTCTTATTATTATTTCCAAAGTCCCCCTTCCATTATAAATATTAAATCTACTCTAAGTGAGTTAATATTTCTGGCCTCCTGGAGGTATCTTTTATTTTATCGCTATTTTAATTTAAATATAAATATTACTACCTTCTTATTATGGATCCATCAAGAATATATTGAATTTCGTTATTATTTTATAAGTTTATTAATAGTTTAGTTCTTATGAATCTAGTACCAGACCAAATTTAGGCTTCTAATTCTTATGGAAACTCTTACTATTTAAAGCCTTCCTTTTCTAATCCAAATTATTATTAAACAATTCTTTATTCAATTTAATCTTAATATTTATCAATTAAGAATTCCTTAATATTAATTTTTTAATGTTAAACTTATTCCAAGATATTTTTTTTCACTGCATTTTGATTTATTTAATTTTCTGGTTAATCTTTGTTTGATTCTATATAACGAATATTTTTCATGGTTTAACAAAATTGAAAGATTTCAAGAAGTTATTTATTTGTCTCATTCCAGTTAGGGTATTATAATATATGATCTATTTTTGTTAAATCATTTGCAAGCAAATTTAACTAAAATATTTTTAATTTTTCCATATACTCTTAATTGAGTTCCTTTTCTTAAAAATTATTAACAAATTGAAGAATATTAATTAATTCTAAGCTTAATTTGATGAATTTCTTTATTTCGGATATAGAATTCATTCTGCTTTTAATCCATGATTAAGTATTTTCAAATGATATTAAAGATGCAACATGGTTTGAATGTAATAGTTGAATACACTAATTACAAAATGGCCTTAGTGAATGACAATTGGGATCTAGGCAAATACCATTTATTGGCATTTATGAATGATCAATCCTTGTACAATATTGTTATTCCATTCTTTAATGTATTTATTGTATAAATAATAATCAAATTATTAGCTCAATTCATGTGATTTCAATCTATAAATTTTCATCACCATAAGTAAAAAATATTTTAGTTGAAATTCTACTATCTAATTGATTAAATATCTAGAGGTTCATTAACCAGAGTTTATAATGTGATATCATTTTTGAGAATCACTCAATTTAAACAATTTTGGTAAGAAAATAATAAATTCTAGTTGTTTGTGCCTTTTAGTGAGAATAAATAAATCTGTTAATTATTGTTAATTAGCTTGAATAAGGTTGGTTGAGGACTGTAAATTGATCTGCTCATTGAAAAATTCAATAGAATATTTTATTAAGATTTTCTTTTTTAAGAGTATTTTTAAATGTTGTAACTAGAAATTATATTAGAAAATTACATAGATTAAAAATAAATGGATTTCTGATAAGTGATAACAATAAGCATAATATTAAGAATTTTTAATATTAGTCTTGAAAAAAAGATAAGGCTTTGTGTTGAATCTTAATATTATTAGTATAATTTCAATTACTGTGTTTATAAATATTTATTACAAATATATAAAAATATGATTTGGTAATAAATTCAAAGCTAAAATGCTAGCAATATAATCATCTGGATGAGATAGATACAGTTTGTTATAACTAATTCTGTACAGAGTTCAGACTAAATTTTTTTAAATGTTTAAAATATGGAAGAATCCATCACGATCATTTTAAAGATGTTGAAAAAATTAGCACTTTAATAACATATATTGAAAATAAAAATTAAAAATGTGATTTTTATTGATGATCTCAATAAATATGTAGAAAGTGTAAATCAAACATTTTCTTTTTTAAATAGGGGAATCAGATTCAAAAATTCTTATTAATTATTTTAAATATACGAATTTTGGGTAAATATGAGGATGCAATTGTTTGGATAGACAAAGCATTAGCGATAGATTCTAAAGATTTTAATTCCTTATATGCAAAAGGTAGATTGAAACATAATTATATTAATAGGTTTATGTTTAAGATTGTTAAGTAAATATGAGAATGCAATAACTTAGTTGGACAAAGCATTAGCTTTTGATTCTAAGCATGTTAGTTCCTTACATGAGAAAGGTAAATTGAAAATAATAATTTTAATAGGTGAGTGTTTAAGATTATTAAAAAGATATAAAGAATCTATATAATTTCTGAATAAAGCACTGTCCATCAATCAGAAACATACATTTTCTCTGATATCCAAAGTTATCTTATCATCTAATTTGTAGGAGATTGTTTGTAACAGACTTAAAAAAATATAAAGAAGCTCTCATTTGTTATGAAAAATCATTAACAATTGATCCAAACGATCAATATGGAAAAAACAAAAAGAAAGAACTGAATTATTAATTTGAAATTGTTAGAAGAAATTGAATTAATGAGTATTCAATATTTCAAAATAACATCATAATATATTTATTA